ACAAATGTCTGCCCCATGACAGCCTCACAGCAGAGCAGTGGGCTGGGAAGAGAGAGGGTTCGGGGCTCCACCAGACCCCAGGGGGATTGCTGGCTCTGGCTCTCCACGCCTTGGCTGTGGGGTGTCAGCACATGGCTTCACGGCGTCATGGTGAGGTCTCCCCAAGAGGGTGTGTGGGGGTCCTCAGCGCCGCTGGCCCTCCCGTAGGACTCAGGTTGATGAGAAATTGTTATCAGTGTCTCTCCCAGTCTTGGCTCAGAGCAAATTGGGAGTATTTCTGAATGTGTGTCCTCATCTGTGAAATGGACACCTTGATGTCATCTGTTGAGCATGAAATAAGAGAATGAAAGCCAAGTGCCTAGCATGCAGGAATGTGATGCTATCTTCCCTCACCCCATCCCACCCCCATTCTCTTTTCTTCGCTCTGCCCACAGTGTCTCCACTAGTAGGTAATCTTTTCCTTGAGCCCAGAAGACTGAAGTCAGGCACCACAGGATGGCCAGGTGTGCTTTAAGTCAGCAGAGCAGGGCTCTCTGTTGGAGACAGAAGTCCTGCGGGGAGGGCAGTGGTGGCAGCGAGAGATCTGTTTTGGGGACCTAATGTGTCCTTTTTCTGTATCCCTCCTCATCCTGGTCCCTAGATCCAAACTTGAGGAGAAGAGGGTCTGGGAACTGTAGGTGAACAGAGGGTGATAGGCCTCGGATTCTGCAGGCTGCTCCTTGGCTCATTCTGCAAGCAATTGTGTGTGCGAGGCCCTGTTCTGGGTGCTGGGGTGCAGCAGGACAGACCGAACTCTCTGCCCTCAGGGAGCCTGTATTCTAGTGGGGAGGCAGGCACACGTGACAGTAAGTCAGCATGTGAGGGGAGACGAGCTGCGGAAAACAGCAAGTTGTAAGGGGGGCGGAAGTACCTGCGGCTGCCACTTTGGCTGCAGTTTTCGATCTGGTGGTCAAGGTAGGCTCACCAGGAGAGCAAGGGAGTGAGCCGCCTGGGTGGTCATAGTACCAGCAGTCACAGCCTCCATTCTTTGAGCACTAACTATATGGTAGGCATCCTTATATGCTCCTGCCTTGGTCAATCCAGTGTAGCAGTGGGGTCCCTATTTTATAGCTGAGGATATATGCAGGAAGATGAAGTAACTTTCTCGAGGTCGCCTAGCTGATCAGTGGCAGAGCTGGGATTCAAACCCACACCTGTAGGCTGTCCCACTAGCCTTGCCTGCTGCCCCTTGGCCATGAGGAGCCATCTTGTCACCTGGTGAAGCCCCCGGGAGCCAGCAGATGCTGTTGCAAACATGGACCTGGTCCCTGAGAGTGGGCCGGTGGCACAGCCTGTGGGGTAGAGCTGGATGGTTTTGTACTGCAGGCAGGGCTCTGCTCTCATGCTGCCGAGTGCGGCAGCCTCAGAGGATGAGGATGAATCACGGCGGAGAGGGCCAGCTTAGTCAGCACCCCATGCTGGTGTCTGGGCGCCATCAGAGGTGTCCAGCTGTCTCCACCCCCCTTCCCTGACCTCCCACTCGGGGCTGCCAAATGTGGTGGTGCAGGCTGTGCCTTGTGCAAGGACACCTGGCTGAGGGGTGAGTCGGAGTGAAATACGCTCTGTTTGCCAAGTTGCCAAACACGCTCTGGCAGGGCACTGTATCTGTTTAGAGGATTCTGTGCCTGCACCTTTTCGAGGCGTTCCAAGGTACTAAAGAGGGACGCAGTTGGGTCAGGAGCTCCAGAAGTTCACACCTGGCTGATGCCTGGGCAAGGTCACCTTGCTGAAGCCCAGCTCCTGCCCAGGAACAGGGCCTCTGCCTCTGTGGGGACAGGCTTGTTAGGTAGGTGGGAAGCACTGGCTCCCCTGGAGCTGGTCTGCCTCTAGGTGTCTAGATGTCTCAAGACATCCAGGTTTAAATCCAGGTGCCACTGCTTTCTAATTCTGTGAATTCTGTCACCTAGCAGAGCTGGGACTAGAGTGCAGGATCCACTGACCCGTGCTGGACAGCCAAGCACTTCCTCTGTGCCAGATGCAGGGTGGGCAGGGGAAGGAAGGCATGGGTGGACAGCACTGCCTCTGTGGCTCTCCTCCATGATTTGTGCATGTGGGAGAGAAGGGGAAATGTGAACACACACACACATACCCGTAGAAACAGTCCACTCCTGAGGGGCTCATCATTAGACTTCAGGGAGGCTTTCCTAGCAGGTGCAAGTACGGGCACTGTGAGACTGGTTCTGCCTTTCCCGGAAGTGTGACCTGGGACACCCCACAGCACCTCTCTGAGCCTCAATCGTCTCTTTCACAAATGCGATTATAATACATACCATTTAGACTTTGAAGGGGCCATATGGTCCCAGGGATACAGTGGATGATTAATAAAGGAGAGCTGTCAGTAGTATGATTTTATGGGGAGGAGACTTTTCTAAGTGATTAGGAGTGTGGGCTCTAGATCCATCCTACTTGGATTCTAAACCCAGCTTGGGGTTACTGGGTGGCTCAGCTGATTAAGCGTCCGACTCTTGGTTTTAGCTCAGGTCATGATCTCATGGTTTCGTGAGTTCGAGCCCCGTGTCGGGCTCCGCTGACAGTGTAGAGCCTGTTTGGGATTCTCTCTCTGCCCCTCCCTCACTTGTGTGCCTGTCTCTCAAAATAAATAAATAAACTTTAAAAAATAAATAAACCCAGCTTGGCTGCTTTCCAGTATTGTGACCTTGGCTAGGTCACTTCACTTCTTGGAGCCTCAGTGCCATCATCTGAAAAAGTGTAATGGGTCCTACCTTACAGTTTGTCCTGTGCACTAAATGAGATGATGCATTATAAAGCTTTCAGCCTAGTGCCAGCCCGTGGTAGGTGCTCAATAAATCAAATAGTAGGTAACTTTTATTGAGCACTGCTCAGTGCTGGACATTATTAGTGTCATTTGTATTTCTATTACTCTTTTATTAACAATTCATTTGCATTAGCAAACGTCTGTGTCCTGCTCCCAAGCAATCAGCTAACCTGTCAGACCCCTGCCTCACATTCCTGCAGTGAAAGTAGAGGCCTAGAGAGGTCCAAGGTCACACGACTGGCTTCTCAGTGCCCTGCGTGATTTTGTCCAGCTAAGTCTGCCGCAGAGCCACCGTTCCATCTCAGTTTCCCGGAGGGACACCTCCCCACCCCATTACTCTCCAGAGCCAACAGCTCCTCAGAGCTTCAAGCTTCGTGAATGGCTTGGTTAAGCACTCGGCCGTTAAACGTTCATCTCTTACAATTTCAATCCAATTCCTATAAGTTTATTGGCAAGACGGGGTGTATTAGAGCTGCCAAATTTAATATATCAAGTCCGTGTGTCTGGGATGCGGTTTCTCAGCCGTAATTGGAGAAGAGAGGTTTTATACGTTTTCATTTTGAATGACTGTCTGTTCCTGATCCCATTACAGCCCTTGACTTAATGGCTGCTGTCCCTGTCAGCCGCAGGAACAGCCTTCTCCATCGACCCACCTGGCTGCCTGGACAGTCCAGGGGCTTGTTTGTCTCTGTCTCTCTCCCTCTTCTCTTCTTCCCAAGATACATGCCCCCAATCCATCTGCCCTGTGGTCAGGTCCCAGCTGTATCTTTAATTTGCCAAGTCCTGGGAGTTGGCTCTGGGCTGCTTGGGGAAGTCACTCTCCTTCTTCCTCTGGCACTCAGGAACCTGCTCTGGGAAATGAGAAATCTGACTACAGGACCTGAAGGGCAAGGGGCTGGTCTGGGCTCAGCCTTTGTGATCCCACTTGACAGCCCAGAGTGGACCCATTCATCCTCTGGTCTTTCGGCAGCAAACTGGGGGACCAGGGCCAAGGGCTGGCCCTGACACTCATAGATTTGCCTCCTGCCTATGGCTGTGGGTCTCCCGGGTCAGGTGTGGCAGCTGTGGTCACTATGGCTGAGGGGTCTTCGGTCTTAAGGCTGAAACATTCTCATGTCCCTCTCTGATTGACCTGCCCTCTGAGAGTTTAGCTAATCTCTTGGGAAGCTGTTTGCATTTCTGCCTGAGCTCTCTGGCTTCTGTAAGCTTTGAGCTGGCTGTGGAAGTGAGGATACCCAGCAGTGGGATTTTAGGGCACTTGGCTTCACCTTCTGCTTACCAGCTGTGTGACCTTGGACAGATCACTTCCTTTCTCTGAACCTCAGTTGTCCGATAAGGAATATGGGAATTAATCCACTTATTCCTCAACTATTGGTTGCCTACTCTGTACTGTGCACCACTTTGGGTACTGGGGCTCAGCAGTGAACAAAACAAAGATATCCCTGCCCGCCTGGATTTATATTTCTGTTGGGAGAAAAAGATAATAAACATAACAAGTAACTTATTACTTCAAAGGTGATAAAAATGAAGCAGGGAATGGGGAAAGCTAAGTAGAGTGTTCTGCAATTTTAAATAAAGCTGTTACAGGAGATTACTGAGAAGACAGTATTAGAGTGAAGGTTGAAGAAATCAAGTGAGCAAGGAAGGAATCTGAGGAAGAGCATCCAGGCAGAGGGACCAGCAGGTGCAAATGCGAGAGGTGGCGGAGTGCCTGGAGTGTGGGAGGGGAGGAGCAGAGATGAGGCTGATGTGGCCAGATTGGAGGAGAGGGGAGAGAGGAAGTCAGAGTGGAGTAGGGGCAGGGGCAGTGGCCAGAGGGTATAAGGTGTGGTTCTCCCACGCAGCTGCATATGAGAACTCCCTGGGGAGTTTTACAAACGTGCCTGATGCCTGGGTCTCCCCCTCTCCCCTCGCTGAGGTTCCACTGTCCCTGGCCTGGGCATCAGATTTCTTAAAAGATCCCTCTGAAATGAGGCCTTCTCAACCCGTAATCAGTAATCATTACAGTAATGATTGGCCTGTGTGGTTCCTCATGGGCTGTCCTGGGGTTGAAAATGAGGGTTTGTGTGTATAGAGCCTTCCTCACACTGGCCCTCAGGGAGTGCTGGTTTGGTGTGGTGCACTTTGGGCCTTAGTGTGTGGCGTTTCCTCCATACTCCTGACTGAGTGCTTTGTGGCTTCCCAGGCAGTATCTGGCGGAGGTGGCCATGGGGAAGCATTACTTCTGTGACTACTGCAACCGCTCCTTCCAGGACAACCTCCACAACCGCAAGAAGCACCTGAATGGGCTACAGCACCTCAAGGCCAAGAAGGTCTGGTATGACATGTTTCGAGGTGAGTGGCAACTGACCGGGCAGCTGGGCCAATGGAGGCCAGCTCTCAGATCTTTCCGGTTGTCAGACAAGGAAGTACCGTGTGCCAGTGACAGTCTCCACAGCCTAGGTTGGCTCTTTGAATGGCAAAAGAGAGGAGGTTGGGCCCCTAGGGGCAGATGGGCCCTCCAAGGGGCAGTCTGGAATGTGAGCTCCTTCCCCCAGTAATCTTGACTGAGGGCTCCAGTCTGCCAGCCTCTGGGGATACTGTGGCCAGGAAGGAGGCTGTTTCAAGGAGGTGATGTTTGAGCCAACGGCTGGAAAGATAGGGAAAAGCCAGCCACAAAACCACACCATTTTGGGCAGAGGGCATGCAGAAGCAGGTGGCCAAGAGCAAAGCACCAGGTGCTCTTGGTGCAGAGGAGAGGGGATATGGCTAAACACAGGGGGAGAGGAGGGTGGTAGGGACTGAGGCTGGTGACAGGGCAGGGACCAGATTGTGCCGGCCTGTGGAGGCCACAGTAGGAAGGGTGGTTTGTCCCTAGGGCAAAGGTGGAGGGCAGCCTTTGAAGGGCACCAGGCAGTGGCTGACATGACCAGACCTACAGTTGACAATGATGACTGTCTGCTGCGTGGGGTGCAGTAAATAGCTGTTGAATGACTGGCTGACTGGATGAATAATCGGCTGCCGGAGCCAGGGCTTTTCCGGGAAAGGCTTCTTAGAGCAGGTGCTACCAAAGCAAATGAGCTCAGGCCATAAGCACCTAGCACAGGGCCTGGCACCTTCGACGTGCTCACTTCAGGGAAGCTGCTGCTGCTGCTGCTGCTGCTCTACTGTCATCAGAACAGACAGGGAGCTTGGCAGTGGGGTGGAGGTGGGCCAGGAGCTTCTAGAATGAGCTGGGGCAGGGCTGATGCTTCATTATTTGGGGAGCAGGATTCCCAGAGCAGAAGGAAGGAGATGAGTCTCAGCAGTTGAGAAGGGAGAAGTGGAGACAAGGTTTCCTGGTCTGAGACTCAAAATTTACAAGAAGGGAGTGAGCATTTATGGAGTGCCTGCTGCATGCCAGGTACCATTTGTGGTTTGTCATTTGCTTTATCAGTAATCCTCTAAGGCAGATCTCCACCCTTCAAGTTAGGATCACCTGGAGACCTTGAATAAAAAACCGCTGGTCACCTGACCCCATCCTCAGAGGCAGGTTTGAGGTGGGGCCTTGGCACATTATTTTCAGATCTCTCAGACTCTCATTTCAGATGAGGAAGCTGAGGCTCAGAGGCTTGGGTGAGAGAGGGTGGCCAGGCTGCTCAGCAGGCCAGGCATGGCTGAGGTCGCAAGGGGCTGGGAGTGGGGGCGGAGGGGAAATCAGCGCCAGAGGTGTCTCCTGGGTGCCTGGGAGGCCTCTGACTCTGGTGTCAGGCAAAGGATCCCTGTGCTCCAAATCCAGTGGGGACTGCTATCTGGCATGGAGCCAGGCTTCAAGATTACCTTGGTGTTTCCTCTTAGCCCCAGATTCTTAGCTGGGAACAGGTGGGACTTTGGGTCTAGGGCTGATTGGCAGAGGCTATTGTATTACATAAAGGAAAGATGAAAGAGTGGGTATCATAAGCCCCTTCGCAGGAGTCCTGTATTCCTAGTGTCTTCTCTCATCCCCAGGCACATTCTGTCCCTTGAACAGCTCTGCAAGGGAGGCTGCGTGGGGGGGTCCCCACTTAAAGGTGTTGATTTCAAGATCCAGAGTGGTGGATTACTCACCCCGGGGTCCACAAGTTGGCCCATGAGCTCTTTCCACTTGAAGGGGCTTCCCCAGGGCTCCCGCTTACCTGAGCAAACTGCACAGCACAGACTTTGGGGAGGCACGTGACGCCCCAGCCTGGGCTAGGACTCAACATTCACTTAGGTCCCAGCTCCATGGCCTTAGACAAGTCCCCTAATCCCCCAGAGGGGCTAACCATCCTTCTGCCATGGCCAGGACAAATATGAGTCCTGGAGCTAAGCTGATTGGCTGTCAGTCCCAAGGTGTCACTCCCAGTGTGGCCCTAAAGCTGCCATGTGTAAAACGGCCCTAACAACAGTACCCACCTCCCAGGGATGTGACAGGGACTCAGTATATTTCATACATGACTGTGTGGCCTGGAAGGGTTCACTCAGTAGGAACAATGTTTATGGGACCACAAAAGGATTGGCCTCAGGCCCTTTATATCCTGGACTCATCTATTCAGACAGTGCTCAGTGAACACTTAGCATGTTTTCTCCGAGGCAGGCTCTGAAGACTTCCAGGTTAATAAGACAGGACCCCTCTCCTAAGCAGCCTCACTCCCAGTTACAGCAGTGTGTTCTGGGCAGAACCCCTGTCTTGTGCAGGCCTCCATGCCCTGCCCACCTCTCCCTCCAAGCTCCAGCCACCCTGGCCATTGCAGGTACTGTCCTGTCTGTGGGCATGTCTTTCCTGCTATTGTCCTGCCCTCAGCCTAGCCCTTCCATCCCAGAACTCAACTCAGGCAGAGCGTCCTCAGGGATGCCCTCCCCACCCCCTAGGCAAGGTGAGGTCATTTGGCTTAATGCTGGCTGCTCCCGTTTATGTCCCCCACGGCTTAGTGTGACTGTTGAACTGGAAGGGAGGAGCAGGTCTGACTTACTGTCCACTAAATCCCCATCCTGGCATGGCGCCTGGCGCACAGGACCAGCTCGGTAAATGTTTGTTAGATGAATATCTTAGTGAACGAGCAAACAAACACCAGGCACCAAGGTGGCTGTTAATTTTGGGAGATGAAGCAAGAAGGACCAAGGGGGTCAGATCACAAGGAGCCTTGAATGCTGGGTGGAGGAGCATGCCTTCTTTATGCGGGCCCTGGGCTAGGGTTCTCACCCCTGGGTGCCCTTCAGAGTCACCAAGGAGCTTTTAACAATTTTCATGCTCTCCCCCTCAGATGAGTTAAAGCAGAACCTGAGAAGGATGGGCCTCAGGATTATTTATTTTATTTTAAGAAGAATTTTATTTTTTTAATGTTTTATTTATTTTTGAGAGAGTACAAGCAGGGGAGAGACAGAGAGAGGGGGACAGAGGATCCTAAGCAGGTTCTGTGCTGACAGCATCACGCCCAACGTGAGGCTTGAATTCAAGAACTGCGAGATCATAACTTGAGTAGAAGTTAGACACTTCACTGACTGGGCCACGCAGGTGCCCCAGAGAAGAAACTTTTTTTTTAATGTTTAATTTTGAGAAAGAGAAAGAAAGAGAGAAAGAGAGAGAGAGAGAGAACACGAGCAGGGGAGGGGCAGAGAGAAAGGGGGAAGAGAATCTGAAGCAGGCTCCATGCTGACAGCAGCGAGCCTGATGTGGGTCTCGAACTCATGAACCATGAGATCATGACCTGAGGCAAAGTTGGACACTCAACCAACTGAACCACCCAGGCGCCTCGGAAGAAACTTTTTAAAGTTGTTTATTTATTTATTTTGAGAGAGAGGAAAAGAGACCGTGTGCTCAGGGGAGAGGCAGAGAGGGAAAGAGAGAATACCAGGCTCTGACAGTGCAGAGCCCTGTTGGGCTCGATCTCACAGACTGTAAGATCATGACCTACGCTGAAGTCAGGAGTTGGACTCTGTACCAACTGAGCCACCCATGCGCCCTGGGATCCATGTATTTTTAATGTTTATTTATTTTTGAGAGAGAGAGACAGACTGCGAGTAGCGGAGGGGCAGAGAGAGGGGGAGACACAGAACCCGAAGCAGGCTTCAGGCTTTGAGCTGTCAGCACAGAGCCCAATGCCGGGCTTAAACCCACGAATGGCGAGATCATGACCTGAGCTGAAGTTGGACACTTAACCGACTGAGCCACCCAGGCACCCCAGGATCCACATATTTTAAAAACTGCCTGATGATTCTCCCATGTGGCTGGGGTCAAGAACCACCAGCCAGAGACTGGGCAGCCTGGAACTTTTCTCCCACAGTGAGTCTCCCAGCCAGGGCGCCCTGGCTAAGATGCAGGCTCAGACCCCCCACTCAGGCTCAGCTGTCCTACCTCTGGGACATGGGGGCAGGACCAGGCAATGTTCACATCAACTGGGTGAGCTGAGTCTGACAGGCCCAGTGCTGACAGATAGACACCCTCTATCCTGCTGGCCCCACCCAGACCACTCTGCCAGGCCACCCCTGGAGTGAGTCCTTTGATAACCAACTCCTGACCCCAGAGGCCCAACCCTACCAGCTGCCTTGCCCTCAGGAAGAGGAAGGGAGAAGCTCCTATCAGAGTTGGCCCTTACCCAGCCACCAGGAGATCACATGGGAAAGGGCAGGGGCCTTAGAGTCACATGCCAGGGTTAAACTGGGCACTGCCACTTCCTGACTGTGTGCCCTTTCCCCTGTTTGAACTTCAGTTTTTCCCTCTGCAAAATGGGGATGGTAGCACTATGCAGTGGGTTTGTGAGGAGGACATGAAAGAAGAACTGCCACCGTTTGTTGAGCGTCCATGACAGAGGTTCTGAGCCCTGGCTGCATGTTAGTGTCACCTGGGGAGTGTGATGCCGAAGCCACTTCCAGCCCCACATTCCTGGCAATTCTAATGTGCCATGAGGGTTGGGAATCATCGGCCACCTCTGCCAAGTGCTCTGCATCCATTACTTTATTCAATTTTCACAGCAGCCCTACAGGGGAGAATTTTCCTCCCATTTTGCATATGAGGAAACAGAGACTTGGGGAGATTAAGCAGCTTGCCTCTGGACTCGGAAACCCATTGGTCTTTCCTTTACTCCAGCAGCCTCTAGAAAAGACACCAACAGGGAAAGTGCCCAGCCCAGGCCTCCAGGGCAACATCAGGGCCTCTGAGTCAGGGCATCTTCCTGTCTTACTCACAGATTTTGACCGATTGGTTCCTTACCTACAAAGAAGCACACGAAACTTAAACCATAAATATATGATAAAAATAAAGGGGGAAAAGTTGGAGGAAACCAGGGTTAAGGTTCATATCCAGAAAGATTGCTGTGAAGTCCCTTTGAGGCCGGCAGCTGGTCTGGCTCTGAGAGCCCGCAGGTCTCAGGTATAACAAGGGAGCAGAGAGTGACCTGCTGCAGCGTGGCTGTGGAGGGATGCCTGAGCCCCGGGGCTTACTGGTGGGCTACCTGGACACCAGGAATTTTTTTAGTTTTCTATTATTGTAGATTCACAGGAAGTTACAAAGACAGTATGGACAGTGTAGGGTACCAGGATTTTAAAAAACTAAACTGCCCAGGTGATTCCATTGTTTGGTCAAAGCCAGAACCTCAGACCTAAAACTTGGTTCTTGCCTTTGGCTGGGTCTAGGAGGGGTTGAGGTCACCTGAAGCTCAGATGCTTCTGCCCAGCATCCCCACCTGTGGTCATCCCCAACTGTGGTTGTCTCTTTCTACACTCTTCTGTCGATGGGAACTGTTTCCTTTTCTGATCTCGGTGCCTCTGTGCAACCGAAGTCTGAACCCGGCTCCTCTCTCCTCGCAGATGCAGCTGCCATCTTGCTAGATGAACAGAACAAGCGGCCGTGTAGGAAGTTTCTGCTGACAGGTAAAGTGTTCTACTCAGTTCAGGTCCCTCCAGGGACCAGCATGCCCTGTCTGGCCTGCTTGGACCTCTGCAGAGCCTCTCCCCTTCCCCAGCCACTATCCTAAACCCATTTTGTGGTCTCAGTGCATCGCCAGCTGGTCAGTTGAGACCTTCCCAGGGGTTGTGCCTTAGGACTTCCAGGGCCTAGTCTTCAGCACTTCAGACATAGAATGTGATTTTATCGGCCCACTCAGAACAAGCAAGTGCTGGGAGATTGCGAGTAAATCTAGGAGACACTGATGGGTGTGATTGATTGGCTGATTAAGTTAGTCTGGGAGTCCAACCTCCTGCTCCCACCCTCCCAGCAGGCAGGCCTGGAGACAGATGGTAACAGGTCTGAGGAGAAGGTTCAGAATTAGAACCAAGAGCGCTAAGTGTTGATTTGACTGCTCAATACCCAGCTAATAAAGATACATATAGTTCAAAGAGATCAAACAAACAAAAAAAAGCCCTCAGTAAACAAAGGAACCAAGTGCAAATGAAAATAAAGGTAGGAAAAATAAGACAGAGCCCAGAGAATGATTAGTTTCCTCCATGCTTGCTTTGAGTTTCTGTATATTTTCTGATTTGGCCCTGAGCTTCCTAGCAGCCAAGGCAAGGAGGGGAACCATGGTGATTAACATGGTATGTAGCACTGGGGAGAGGTACTGCTATCAGCCTAAGGAAGCCAGGTGTATGGCCACACTCCCCTCAGGAGACAGTGCGACCCCTAGGATGGTCACTAGGCCTGCAGATCAGGGCCTTCCCCCACAGACTTCACATTGACGTGAAAATGCCACTGGTAGGTTATGCTGGCTTAAGAGACCTCCAGTCTGCTGTTATTTTGAGACACATTTTGGTCTGCCGGTTAAGATTTGGAAAGCCACACTGGGCTTTGGTACCTCCTTGGCAAAGCTACCATTAAAGCCTTTCTGGCGAGCATTCCAGCCACTCCTGCAAGCCAGATGGGCAGGTGGGCACCAAGCAGAGGGCACAGCATGTACAGTGGCCTGGATTGGGGAGAGAAAGCATGACTCTTTCAGGGGCCCACCCATGATTTGTTGAGGCTGGGGAACAGGGGTTCGGGGCCAGGGCAGTGGTGACAGTAGAAAGCCTGCAGAGGCTTGTGCAGCCCAATCACAGAAGGCTTCAGGATTTGATTCCCAACAGGCTTGTTCTGGCTGCTTGTGTGGGCGGGACCAAAGAGATTCCAAGTTTTTCTCTGGAGGTGGAGTTGCTACTCTATAGACTCTAAAGCCTCACACCTAAAACTCTGATGGCCCCTCAGCCCTTGGAGGGAGCTCTTCCAAGCCGTGAATAACTCTGTCTTCCCTGTCTTCTGTTGCAGGCCAGTGTGACTTTGGCTCCAACTGCAGATTTTCCCACATGTCAGAGAGAGATCTGCAAGAGCTGAGTATCCAGGTGGAGGGTGTGTTTTGGCGGGGTCCCTGGGTTGGAGGGGGGGCAGTCTGCTGGGGGGATGCCAGATCTGAGGCCCAGGAAGCTGCCCAGTGTCTCCCCACCTCCTCCTCTTTTGTGGACACCTTGTGGGATAAGCTGAGAGCTGCCTAGGTGATGGGGTGGAGGTCAGGAACTGCCTCCAAACCGCCCCAGGCATGAGTGGAAAAAGAACAGGGGAACTCCCATTTGTGTTCCTGCTGGGTCTAAAGTGACGTATGGGGCTTCCTGTCCTGGAGCCCTGACGGGAGTGCCTCAGCCTCATCTGGACCCTGCTGGGTGCTCATTTGTGTGTATCATCCCCCCTTCCTTCCATCAGGCAGCACCTGTCTCCAGCCCTTACTCAGCACCAGATCCCCTACCTCATCCTGGGGACAAAGGGATAAAGACGACACCTTCCCCACCCTCAGAATTCTCAGGCCCCGTGGCTCCAGGGAAGAACAAGTGTAGCTTCCCCTGGAAATTGCCACGTCTGTCTTTGGGAAATTCACTTGTCACTTCTCCAGTTAGAGAACAAGGACATTTCCACTGAGATGGTCTATTTCGATCTTCTGATGAAGCCCCCACTGAACAGATAGAGAAACTGAAGCTAGCGTAGGGCAGAAGGCCCTCACGTGAGCCCCCAGCAGGTTAGAGGCCAACTCTAGTCTCCTTGGGTGCTGCTGCTCACTCTTCCATCTGTCCAGGAAGCTTCAGGGCAGCCAGTGAGTGTCCGAGGCAGCCTGGCCTTTGCCCTCGTTCCCAGTGGGACTCCACTCCCCTCTGATCAGTCATACTCTGCGGGCCCTGCCCTGGGGAGCTGATGGCACTGTGGCCACAGCCCTGGCACAAACACAAGGTTTCCAGGAGCTTTCCTAGGGCAGAAGTGAGGCCCCATCGGCCTCGCCAGCGAGTCCTGGCAGTGGTGGTATCTCCAGCTCTTCACTGGCCTAGGCTCTCGGGGAACAGTTGGCCCGTGGCAAGGAAAGCATAGGCCAGTGGGCCTGGAGCTGGAGATGATGCCTGGTGGAGACCCGGATGGGAGAAGCCCCAGCGGGCTGGGAACAGACGAGTGCCCTGTGACCTTGGCACATGACTAACTCTCTTGGAGGCAGTGTCCTGACCTTTTAAATGTGTCTAGGTGTAGAGGCGAAGTGAGATGAAGCCTGTGTGGTGCTAGCCCAGGCCTTGGGCCCCCTCGTTGGTCCATGAGTAGGATTGTTTTCCTCCAGCGCCAGGCCTCATCCCAAGTCCTCCCAGAGACCCTGACCCTTCTCACACCCAGCTTGTTTGAACCATTGGCTCAATTTTAATTCAGTGAGCAAAGGTTCTTACAGGACATTTTATGAAAAGAAAAACCAGGAAAACTGAGGCGCCTTCCCCTGCCCAGGGTCAAAGAGACCTGCAAGGGGCAGAGCCAAGATTCAAACCCAGCTTTGCCCTGTTCTGCAGCCCACGTTGCCTCCCTGATCGCGGGTTTGGGCCCCTTCTGAGGACAGGCTCTCTACATACTTTATCCTGTGTCCAGCTGCAAAAAGCTTGGGAGGCAGCCCGTGTTTTATCTCCACTTGATGAGGAAGCAGAGTGAGGCCCAGAGGAGCAAGCCTAGGAAGGTGGCAGCATGGTGGGGACAGCGCAGCCTGTGCTGCACTCCTCAGGAGGTTCTGACTGCTTTGTGGGAGGGTGGGGTTCAGGAGGGGGTGGATGTGCCCCTCACTTGCCTCTCTCTTCCTATCCCCACAGAAGAGAGGCGGGCCAGGGAGTGGCCATTAGATGTCGTCGAGCTCCCTGAGGGCCATCTGGAAGACTGGTTGGAAAAGAGAGCAAAGCGGTTGAGCTCAGCCCCAAGCAGCAGGTACAGGACCTGTGGGTCCCCTCCTCCTATCCCCTCTGGGAGAGTACCCTAGCCAGCCTGCCCTGACCAGCAGCTGAGCAGTCTCCATGAACCGTCCCAGTCCAGGGACCAGACATGGACGCCCCCAAAGAACTCCCCAAGGGAGGGGCCACACTGGGGCTTTTGGGGACTTGTTTAAAGGTTCTTGTTCCTCGACCTCATCCTCCTGCCTTAGTGGCTCCTCCCTTAATTGGTATCTATGCTGGCTGGTGGGGAGGCAGGTGGCTAAGCTGACTTGACTCAACATCACCAAGTCCATTGTCAGAGGGAGGGGCCTGATTGTGGTTACTGAGGCCCCAGTATGCCAGTCACTGCGCTCTCTTCTCCAGGACCCCAGACCCTGCAGATGGGGAAGTGCGGCTCACAGGAGGGTGTGACTTGCCTAAAGGCACACAGCTGAGAGGCAGAGCTGGGAATGCATAGAGATGTGACTGGCTCACTGCCATTGCCTCACTGCCTCCTTGAGGAGGAGGCTGGGGTGGGTCGGCCCAGCTGCTGCCTGGGTCTGGCACTCAATATGTTCAGAAGTGGGTGGAGCACCCTGAGTCCGGGGCCCTCAGGTGTATGCTGTATGCTGTCCCAGGGCTCCTGGGCTCTCCTACCAGGTGTTGAAGGAGACAGAGGGGAGGAAGGGGGCTAACAGATGTGCTTGTGAGTTGCCTGTGACTTTGTAGTTTTCTGCACTGGGCTGCCTCATTTTGCCTATCTTGCAATGGGGCTTCAGACCCAATTGTCTCTGTGGTGTGGTCTCCTGCAACAGTGGCCTGCCCTGGGCTGAGGGAGCCTGGTTGGACAGTAAGGAGTGAGGCCTTCTCTCTAGGCTCCGCCAGGAGGTGGGGGCTAAGCTTCTTGTCTTCTCTGTGCCCTGATGAAAAGAACTTTTTGTTAAACTATTTTAAAATTAACTTTTAGTTGTTTTTTAAATTTGTTTTAAATCTGTGTTGGTTTTGTCCCCCACCTTAAAACAACATAGTACAGACGTGACTAATTTGTTGGATGGAGTGTGATGTCCCTCCCTTCTGGTCCTGTCTGAGGTGGTTGTGATTTTGGTCAGGGGAGCACCCTGTTTGGGACTGGTCCGGGAATCCATGTCCTGAGCCCCAGGCTCCACCAGCTGATGTGTCAGAGTGCTGGGGCTGGTTGGAGGCACCCAGAGAGCTCCAAGGCCTTCTCCGCTCTTCTACTGCTTGGACCTGGCCACCCATGGGTCTCAGCAGTCTGCTCTGACTTGGTGGTCCTCTGTTGGGAGTGAGCACAAGAGGCCTGGGCACCTCCTGAGCATTTCCAAGGGCCCAAGGAGACCCAGTGCCTGGGCTGGCTTGAGCACAGGCATGGGGTAGAGGTGGGTGCCCAGAAGTCCCTCCCTGGGGACAGATGTGTCCCACTGCTATCCAGTGCAGGAGCCTGTGACCATGAGACTCAGAGGACTGGGGGTTGAGACGGAGAAACTGAGGCTGAATAACGGGCCTAGAGTCTCAGGTAGAGGTGGTGACCACATGATAATTGGGTGTGTTGGTGCTGTGGTGCACCTGGCCTTTGGCCCTGGGCATTTAGGGGGATTGGTGCCCCTAGTTTATGGCTGAGGAATCTCAACCTCTCTAGGAGCTTGTGACTGTCCTGGTCACATACCTGCTATCTCTCAACTGACACTTGAGAGAGAACTTAGGCCTCTCTTGGTCTAGTACCTGGGCTACCTCGGTCACCATGTTTATGGCTGGCCGAGGGGCCCTGTCAGCTGGAGGTTTGGAATGATAGTGGCAGTAGCCAGCTGCTGGGATAGCAGTAGTGATTTCTGGAACAGAGCCTCCAACTAGGGACCACCCAAGACTCTATGGAGTCTCAACCTTGTCCCTTGTGCCCCTCACCCTCTGGCCACGCAACCTGGCCCCATCCAGAGGACCTGCTTTTCCCAGCCACCACTTGTTCTCTGTGCCCGTGTACCTTTCCACCTGCCTCCTGAGGGTTCAGAGCCAAAATGAATTGTTCTGGGCAGAGCAGGCCTGTCCGGCCTTGAGAAAAAGGTTGTTGGAAGGGAAGTGACCATTTATTATTACTTCTGCTATCACTGCTTCGGTCTTTGTAAGCCCTCTTCTGTAGTGTCTCATGAAAAATAATGCCCTTATCCCACAGCCCCTGGCTTTGGGGTCTGTTCCTCCACTCACAGGCCCACCCTACAGGGTCAGGGGGGATGGATTCAAGCCCCCGGGCTGCCTTGTTCTGTTCTCTGAGTCTCTTACCCTGGAGGCAGCCCTGCAGAAAGTTCCCTCTGTGCCTTTCATCCACCCCAGCTTTCCTGACGGCCACAGCAGCCCATCCTGCCTTCCCACCTCTCCTCTGCTCATCCGCTCCATCCTCCACACAACAGCCCCAGCCAGTTTCTAAAACACTCTCTGACCTGGCCCCGACCCCGACCCCTGCACCTTAGAGATTCTGGACTCTGCAGCCTGGCTCAACAGACCCCGGGGAACTTCCCTGCCACCACCCCAGCCCTTGGGGTCACCTTCTCACCTCTCCCATCTGGCCTCTGTCAGTCTCACTGGATGCTTGGCGGCTTCTTGGATGTGGTGGGATTTTCGTGCACCTTGTAAATGCTATTTCATCTGCCTGGAACTGCCTCCCCACTTCTGCCTGGCAAAGTCAGACTCATTCTTTAAGCTTTAGCTAAGACATCCCCCCTGACACGGCCCTGAGCTCACATTGTTGTCATTTGGGCTTGGCGGAGGCTCAGGACATGTTGACTGCATGTGAGCATTTGGGAGAGCAGGGTCCCTGGTCCCGAGGACTATTCCCTAGATGTGTTGTGGGCCCCTTGTGGAGACGAGTCTGATGGCTCCGCTTCTCTGGGTGTCTGTTTTCTCCCCTGAGGCACAGGGTGAAGATGGCTGCCTGGTCCATGTACGTGGGGCCACCCAGACTCGAGGGCCCCAACCCCACAGGCTGAGCAAAGCCTTTGAGGTAAACCAGGCCAACCCTCCTCGTAAGGGGGGTGGAGGCTCTGTGAGGCCCCAGCCTGGCACACTGTGCCATCCCCCTCAGCAGACTGACCCTGAGGGATCTGCCAAGAGCAGACAGTGGCAGGAGGGAGAGGAAGGCCTCAGACACACAGACTAATCCCCCGGCAAGGCCAGTGCTTGTCCCTGTTTTCCATTGTTGGCTCTTCAGATCGTGATTTTATCCCTCTTAATCTCCCTTTTTGCACCCCTCTCTGGGCTGACGCTACTGTTCGGCCCAGGTGCCTCCCTAAGACTCTTTTCTTCTGATCAGAACCATGGCTGGGGAAAAGCAAAAGACAGTTGCTCCTGTCCTTGTGCTGGGGGCAAACAGGCCACTAGAGAGGCCATGAGCAGTCTTGTGCACCTCAGTGTCCCTGCGTTGCAGGGCTGAAGGGGTGTGCCCCAAGGGCTCAGTGGCCCAAGGAATGTGTCTGTGTCTGAGCACACAAAATGGGTACTCTTATCCTGGTGGGAGGCCTCACCTGCCCAGGAATCTGCCCCATCTTCTAGAGAAGGGTCTGAGGTTCATGGGAAGGGGCTCTCCAGGATCACACCCTCCCCGCGGAGAATTGCAGTCACCTTAACCCTGTGGGAAGTCTGGGGTTGGCTGGCGGCTGGGCTCTCCCTTCTGACAACTGCGGAACCTCCCCCACTCCCACCCTTCTCTGCGGCTGGTGGAGTTTATGAAGTCTCCCCAATGTCATAAATCATCCCAGGAGCTGCTTTCTGCGCTCTCCAGCAGGCAGCAGGCAGCTAAGCAGGGGATTTCCCTGGCCTGAAGTCTTCAAGTCAGCTCTGTAAGGCGGGTCAGGCCCCGAGAGGGGCAGGCTGGGTGGCTGCAGCGAGGCAAACTCCCTGGGCTCCTGACCCCAGCCCCCACTCCGCCTCGGAGGCCTGAGCCCTCTCCAAACCTTTCAGAGGGCCCAGGACTTTCCCTTTCTGCAGAGGGCCGGCCACTGGCTCCAAGCCTGCTGGAGGTGCCAGGGCATCACCTCCACTGAAAGCTGGGTCTGCAGATTGGGGGGCAGTGTCTGGAGCCCACGAATATGTTGCCCATTAGCCCCTAATCCCCTGATCCCAGACTCTGTCACTTGCGCATGTGACTGACTCTGTGTACTTCAGTTACCTCATCCATAAAATGGGGTTCACATGAGGATGCTTGAAGTTTCTCTAGACGTTGGTGTCTGGCCCAGAGTAGTGCCTAGTCAGTAAGAGCACCCAGCATTGCTCTTTGTCATCAGCAGACATTCACTGAGTGGCCTTCTGGGGCCAGGCCTGGCTCTGGGCACAGGGGGCGGGGGGAGGCAGATGGAGCCCAGCCCTACCCCTTGGTCTCTTCCATCTGAGAGCTCCAGTCCCACAGGGGAGACTTGAGCTCCCAGGTGAGTTCAAAGTGCTCCATAGCCCGAGAGGGGCAGTGCAGCCCTGGAGTAGCAGACGGAGTGGGAATTAAGTCCAGAAGCACTGGAATGTGGGACAGTTGGTGGAGGGAAGCTGCCTCCCTTGGGACAGAGTGGCCCCCAGCTGAGCACCCAGGGTGGATGCTTCAGATAGGCCCTGGGTTCCCAGGTGGCCTCCAGGGTGGTGGGCCTTCAGGGGAAGGAGAGTGAGTAGCATGAGAAATGAGGCTTTTAAAAAAAAATTTTAGACAAGTATTTTTTTCTGATTTCAAAGGCTTGCGTGCTTGTAAAACTTTTCTTGAAAAGTATAAAGAAGTAAAAAAATCACCCATAACTACACCACGCAGATAGAACCACTGTTAACATTTTGCTGTGTCTTCCAGGGTTTTTTTTTTATGCATTTATATATGTTATATATCTTTAAACAAAAATAGTATCATGCTATATACATTATTTTATAAGCTGCTTTTTCTCTCTACTCACACAGTACATCATGATACCTTTCCTTATCAGTGCATATAAGTCTGCCTTAAAGTTTATGCAGGCTGCATAGCATTCTCTGCTGTGGACGTGCATGTGTATTTAATCAATCCCCCACAGGTGGACACAGGTTATTTCCATTTCTTGTAGCTCAGTCTCTGCCCACAGCTCTGCTATTTCCTTGGGCTCCTTCCTAGAGGTGAGGTTGCTGGCTCAGAGGGTCTGCATGTTTTTGAGGCTCTGCCTTCCAGAAAGGTCATGCAAGCAGCTGACCTTTTCCATAGCTGGGGTCTTAAGGAGGGGGAGCTGGGGGAAGGTGCCCCAGCCTGGGCCTGGGCTGTGCCCCATTCTAATTCTCTGCCTTTCTCCTTCTCTCTAGGGCCGAGCCCATGAGAAACACCATCTTCCAGTACCCCATAGGCTGGCCACCAGTCCAGGAGCTGCCTCCATCCCTGCGGGCACCCCCACCCGGGGGGTGGCCCCTGCAGCCCAGTGTCCAGTGGGGCTGAGCCCCTCATCCTCATCTGACCCCCATCTGGTCAGCGTTTGTGTCAGTCACGAGAAAGATAAGGGCTCATACTGGGGACACCGAGGCCCGCTCCCGCTGCACGCTGTGGAGCCTCTGAAACCATTGGCTTGGCCTGGCTTGACTGAGGCCCCAGAGTCTCCCTACCAGGTACAGCCCTGGTCCTAGCTCTGCTCCAGGCAGCTCCACCCTCCCTCCCTCCCTCATGGGACATCTTGAGAAGATGGGTGAGAAAACTTCCTTCCGGATGTTTATAAAGAAAGTCTTTCACCATGGTGATGTGGCTTCCTCCTTGCCCGGCGCCCTCAGCTCTGTGCCCTGGCCCCTGGTTGGAGGACGGGCAGGACTGGAGTAGGTGACGTCCTCTGCAGGGCGATGAGTGCTTGCTGTCCGTCTCCCTGGAGGGCCGGCAGAGGCTCAGCACAGCTGCGCAGACAGTGCGCCAGTGTGGCTGTGATAAGTGACTCCGGGTGTGGGAGAGGAGCTCGAGGACCCAGTCTGCTGTCCCTGTCCCCATGTCTGCCCATGCTGAGCTGGTGCCCGAACATGGGGCTTGGTGGGAGCTGTGTCTCTGGCCTAGATGGTGTAGAGAAGTTGGGGGCCCCAGGTGGACAGGCCCCGGACTTGGAGTGGCCTGGCTGAGCTTCCTGGCACCGACAGTGCTGAGCTACACCAGCCCCTTAGCCCAGCGTGACACAGGGCCCCTCCCAGGGCTTCTGCCCCAGAAGAGCCCCCTGCAACGGGAAGGTTGCACAGGCTGCTCAGATTTGGAAACTCCCGGCCCCTGGTCTGCTTCCCTCCTCACTGCACTCCAGTTCTAGATTCTGTGCTGGGTGGTGATGGGCAATGTGGCCCTCAGGCCAGTGGGCCTCTGATGAGGGGTTCAGAGGGTAGAGAGACTGCAGGGCCACCTCAGATGCCCCATCTGCCATGCGCTTCTGCCCTTCCTGAAAATCCCTGTTGAAGGGGGTCCTGAAGCCAAATCTGGGGGCCCTCTTGAGTCTCAGGGTCCTCCTCTCTGACATGGGCAAATTCTTTGGCCCCAGTGGGTACATGGAGGAAGGCTGGGTTTGAGTCTAAGGAGGGTCAGAGAAAGGGACCCCACAGAAGGCCAGAGGCCTTCCCAGGCTTGGCCAGGGAATAGGGCCCAGGAAACCCCAGCCTCACCCCCTCTCCAAGAGGAAGCATTCTGCCCCCACCTCCACCCTGCCCACAGCCCTGGGCAAATGTCAGGGACCACAGTCAGGCTGGCTGTGTGACCCTGGGCACAGGGTGCTCCTTCCTGCCTAAGTGCCCACAGCAGCTACAGGACCCTGTATAAATTCCTCCTAAACTTCCCAGGAGCCCCTGGACGGTGGGAAGAGTGGGTGCTACATTCGGGCCAGGATGGGCAAGGTGGAGGCGGGGCTGGGGGCTGCCCTCAAGAGCCACCACCAGGCCCTCCACAGCCAGGCCACAGCTCCATGCAGGGCCCACAGGGTGGGTGGGGTGGGGTTGCCAGATGTCCAGGACCTGAAGTACACGCGGCGGTGGCCCAGGGAGCCGAGTGAGGGAGGGGACTGCAGGCGGTGGCGGGCGCAGAGGGGCCCCATGCACCGCGTGCGCCTACTTCATGCCGCTGCGCAGCACCTGGTTGGCTGCGATGAGCATGACGCTAATGATGAAGGCGATGGCGAAGGCGCAGATCAGACTCTTGCGCACGCACGTCTGGCGGATCTGCTGGTTGGAGCAGGCTGTGGCCGCCCGCCAGGGAGCACCAGAGAGAGACAGACGGGGACAGCGAAGCATGGAATCAGGAGCCGCCTGCACTTCCGCACACGGGCTTGTCCCATGGGACGCGCAAGGACACAAGGCTTGGGGCTGGCAAGGAGGCCCCCAGCCGCCCCCTGTCAACCCCTGGTTCCTCCTCCCCCTGCCCAAGCAGTTGGCCTGCCCACGGGGTACCAGGGGTCGGTCACTCACTCTCCACGTCCACGGGGCACTCCTCAGCTGTGCCCAGGTGGCTTTCCTCCTCCGTCATGATGATGTTCTCGATGTCCTTCATGGACAGGTGCTCACAGAAGGTGTCGTACAGCAGCCGCTTCAGCTCGTCCACGGTCAGCTTCTGCATGTCGCACTTGCAGAGGGGAGGAGACACAGTGCTCTGGCCACTGCCACCACCACAGCTGCCACCCAGAACCTTGCAGCCACACAAGCCCAACAGGCCTCCAGACTCTGGAGGACTGGAAACCACTCACTCTATTCCTTGAGTCCTCAACCACACCAGCCCCCCCCCCCCCCCCCCCCCCCCCCCCCCCCCCCCCCCCCCGCAGGGAGCCCATGGCTCTCTGGGAGACAAGACATCCAGTGAATAGAAGCCTGGGATAATCATTCCTCTTTACAGCGTGGCCCTGGCTATTCACTAGCCCCAGTACGGCCCTCCACAGTATGCACACCCTAGGTCCCAACCAGCCAGTACATACCTTCCAGAAGACAGTGTCAAAGTCAGTGCCATGAAACTTCTCTGGGATCCCTGAGGTAGAAAGCTTGGGTCCCAGGAGAGTCACAAACTCCTCAAAGTCCACTTGGCCGTCGCCTAGGGCAAGCATAGGTTCAATCAGTGGCCAGCTTACAACTGGGCTGGGTCCTGGGCCACCTCAGGCAGGTCCCACCTTCTCTGAGCCTTGAGTTATTTTCAGGGACACATAACATCTGCCAAGCTCTGGGCTGATGCTAAACTCACCAAATATGATGAGGCCCCACCTGGTAAAATGGAGATGGAGTGCAGCAGGTGGGCCCAAGTAGATAGGAGACCCTCAGAGTTTACTCAGAAACCATGGCTTCCCAGCACCCTGCTTCCTTCCCCCGGCAGGTGTGGGGCCTGACATTCTCCCCACACAGACAGCTCAGGGCACAATCTACCCAGACCACCACCTGCTCTCTAGGTGGATAGGAGGCAGGACTGGAGGCCCACAGTGAGGACGGGGGGATGAAAAGAGAGGACTGGAACATTACTGGTCTTTTTCACTCGTTTTTCTTTAATAAAATGCCAGGTGGCAAATGCAACTAAATGATTTTTTATTTGGGGTGAGGGGACCTGGGTTATTTAGTATACCCTTTCTACTTTCCTGTATTTCAAAAATTGCTCAGGGGGCACCTGGCCGGCTCAGTTGGCAGAGCATGAGACTCTTGTCTCAGGGTCATGAGTTCGAGCCCCACATTGGGTGC